TAATAATTATATATATATAATTATTATTATAACTATAATAAAAACTATAAACTAATTATTATATGTTTATCGTCGCTATTTCCATGAACCAACAAATACGAAGATCGCGATTGAAAAATTATTACTTTTTGATGGCAATTTCTGACCTGAAAAATTCGTTGCAGGATTCTTGTATTTATTATTTAAAACAAATTAAATAAATTGTAGTTATAAGGTCAGAATGTTTATATCAATCTATTAATTAATTAGTAATCAACTAATTTAAAATATTAATTAAGATTATATTAAGATATTCGTAAAGTTCTTGTGAAAGTTATTTACATAATTGCAGTTTATTTATACGGCATTTCGACGGATATTCGTCACCTCGTGTCTTTTTGCGGCAGTGCCGATAGAAAACAATAGCTTTTTTTTTCCGCACTGCGGCAGTGCCGATAGCCACTACCTAGCCTAGCTAGCCAAAGAAGGTTTGTAAAAAACAGAGGCCTAGGCTTCCCGCCATAACGAGTGATTGTTGTTATTGTCGACGTTTATTCTCCATATTTACACCGTGTTGCTATGAAATAACGCTTTCAACGTAAGTAACATATATGTAGCATTACATCAGTTGCAATCCCAGTAGGTGAATAGTTGTCTGCAGTCAATCAAAGGGCTAAATACTGAATTACTTTTTATTATATAATAATAAGCCTGCCACAAATGATGGGTTGGCCACTGCCCGTGCGTGGCCAAGCCTAGCCCTAGAATATGACCTAGCTAGGCCTAGCGATTGATTCGTTGTTGTAATCATTGGTATAATCGGCCGGTATAATCTATTTATTCAATGTATCATATGCTCATTGTCCAGTAAATATTTCATATTCTGAGCCTACAGTACAATACAACAATATTTTTTGCTCAGCAGCAAATATCCAATGTGATTATGATGGTGGTAGGAGGGGGAAGTTCCAGTTTTTTTGAGGGTGTACTTTGGTTGCAATTTTTTATTTGTAATCCTGTTTATTCAGAGAACAGGACAATGTTTTTTTTTATTTTTTTATTCTACTTTGTGATATTATTAGTATTACAGAGCATTCTGGTGCATGGAAATGTGTAAAATATGGAAAAGGCAGAAGATAAGACGTTTGATGGGAAGATGAATAGGCCTAGTATGCAGTCTGTCAAGAGCTCTGTGGATCAAGGGCCCTCAAATACCGGTGACGAGCAACCACCACCGCCACGACAGTCTAAGGAGAACCAGTTGCAGGTAATACATTTTATTCAATCAGTGTTTCATATAGGCCTAGTTTTATTTTAAATTAGATTTATTATTATTATTATTAAGCCCAGTGGGCTTAATCTCAAGATGAAGCCCATTGAATTGAAGCCCCCTCTTTAGTTTGCAAAATCAGCCTCGAAAAGAAGCCCATTTAAAAAAAGAAGCCCATGGGCTTCTTTTCAAGATCTAGCATAGGCTTCTTTTCGAGATACTGTAGTACATTCGGCATTATTTCAACTTTGCGTATTGAATCATAAGAAACGTATGAATCGTCGACAGGAAACCAGGCTTTACTTTCAAAGCTTTATAAAAATATTTAAAATTTGAAACAAGTTTTTCTCGCACATCAATCGGCAAATCATCCCAAAGACGAGGAAAATAATTATTGTACAGATAAAATATTTAAAACAATCAGTCAGGGCTTCTTTCCGAGATGGACGTCTTTTTTAGATTACTTTTGCGAACCACATAGGGGGTGTGTGCAAATTAAAGAGGGCTTTTTTAGTTCCTATGCATGTAATGCAATAGGAACTATTGTAATCACCCTTCGCTGTTTTCCTGTGTGTAGTGTGTGTGTAGACATTTATGCAAATGCGCATGCGTCAAAGAAAGGTTTTCTGACATTTTGTTTTACCTCGCTATGCAAAGATCGATGTGAAGTTTCTGTAGTGTTCAGTCAGGGCTCAAGCTAACCGATCGGCAAGTCGGCATGGATGAAACTATTTTGGTTTTGCGGCAAAAAAAATTCAAATGCTGTAGGCATAGGCATTTTGAAGAAGCCCTAAATAAAAAAAAGTTTTAATACTTGCTGAAATACATCGTTTTTTCATTTAGATCTCCATTTTTCGCTACCTCCATGCGACGTTTTTTTCTGTTGTACGAGTAGTCATATGAAGGTACTCAGGGGTTTATTTATGAATTTGAGTAGCAGGAGAAATTTGAAAGTAACAGGAGAGTAAATTGAAATTTGCCGGGGTATAGGGGGCCGCCTAAGCCCCATTGGGTCCAGGGGCAGATCCCTGGTCGGGGGTCAAGGGGGCGAAGCGCCATTGCGCTCCAGGGTTTTAGAGTTTTTTAAGCCCACTTTATGGCATTTCTCTACATCATTTTAAAAAAAAAACAGTTTTCAGAATCAACTAATGAGCTGTAAAAAAAGTTGATATTTTTACATATTCTTCATACATATGCCTAGCCTAAATAGATACTGGAAACCAGAAACTTTCGCGAATTGATAATTTCGGTCCTTTTCGCGACATTAAACTTTCGCGAATCTCAAAAGTGTAAATTTTATTCATAAGAGGAATATCATACAATAGCTGAAAATATCGTACAAAATATCTTGAGTTTAGGCCTACAGCCACTGTGTAGGCTACAGTATCTAGGCCTAGGCAGGCTTAGGCGCCATAAGCCTGCCGCCTAACTCAGTTGCTAGGACCAGGACTTAGCTGGCTATCCCAGGCACAGATAAGAAGAGACAAGTTTACACACACACAGTACTCACTCGTATGGTATTCCTTAATTTTGTATGGTATTCAAGCATCCTACAAAATGAACAATGTTTATCAATGTTTTATTAACAAATTATTTTCCTGTAGGCCTAATATCAATTCAAACACATTGATTGATGATGATTGAACATCGTGGTATGTCATATGGTACAGAAAATTAGTTTCCCATTTCTTCGTTTCCCATAACTTCTTAGTATACACTGCACAGTGGTTGCACATGTGTAATCACATGCAGTGATGATCAGAACCTCCCTGATCAGTATACTTATTGGGTAGGTATAGAATAGGCCTACAAATTACGAATTTTAGGTCAGAATATTGATTCAATAATTGAAATACATTCTTTTTTTTAAATTTTATACACATTTAATAAAATCCACCAAAATAAATTGAAAATACAATTTTTATAATGATGAAGTTGTTTACTTTTCACCAACATGTTGCAATTTGTGGGGATTCACCATTTAGGCCTATGCCCTAGATCTGCATTGAAGAAAACATCTAAGGAGAGCCAAAAATAGTAATAAAATTTACGCAGATATCGAAAAGGAATGGATACCACATTAGAAAAAAATGTCTCATGTGATGTGAATTGAGACGATTTTGGCTTGCTTTGCCGTTTTAATCATTGTACTATATATGACCCTGAAATTGTGAATGTAAACAGCATTCAATATACAATACAGTAGTTGGTTCGGCTTGCTACCTCTGCCACCGAGTGTAAATGAATTTGAGCCAGTGTTGCTTTTTTTTTTTTAATTATTATTTATCATTTCCGAAATATCTATGTCATCACCCAAAGAGGGCTAGTAAAATAAAAATGAAATGAAAATAAAAGGTTCATAATCATACACAAATTAATTTAAAAATGATAATCTGTTTTTTTTTCTTCTCCGCGGTAAGAAAACCCGAAAGAGTTTGGGCAATGTATGTCGTCATCACCTGAGCATGTGGTGGAGGAGAAATTTCTATTATCTTATTGGCTAACATGTGATTTGGAGGCGTGGCTTCTTTGATGGACTCACCCAGCGCGACTGCCGAACTTTGAACTTTAACTTTGTTTACGCCGCGAGTTCATGAAAGTCAAACATGGGGTCTGAAAATTGGTAGACATTTTAACGAACTTTCAACAGAAAGGAACATCGAAATGAGTGCATACTATTGCAAATTAACTTCGTGTAGGTAAATAAGGTTCTTTACAGGCCTGTTGCGCTATTTATATTGGTGGTTTTTGTATTAATTTTTGTACAGGATTGATTAAAGTAGCCGGCGGAAACATCGTAGTAGCAGATCGAATGCGCCGGCTCTTAAATAAACCAGTGGTACTATATCCCCGAAAGTTGGCTATGCAGCAGTGAAGATATAAAGGCTGCCAACTGTCGGGTACATAACAACTATCTAGCTTAGGCTTTCCACAAAAACATGAGGCCTAGACTAGGCCTAGTTTAGTAGAGTGTGGTAGATCGTTTAATCAACGATAATGTGTTATCGTCTAATACTTTTAATTATGATTGTGTGTAAAATTTAAGAATGCACCGCGTGGGTCGCTTTCTTTGTTATGCGGCAGTATACGTATCAGAGTGACGGCAGCAAGGCTAGATCTAGGGCCTAGATCGTGTACGTTCTTGATCATCGTGATGAAAACTTCGGGTGACAGATGATTGGGCCCAACTGGTGTGGACGATTGGGCCCAACTGGTAGGACGATCGGGCCCAAGCTATTTTCAAATAAATTGTAGTCTAGTAGGCCACTGCCAGCTCCCCCACTCCCGATATCATTCCAAACTACTGTAAAATGAAAATACTGTATACCTAGCTAGGCCTAGGCCCTAGGCCTACAAAAATTTTTTTTTAAAGAAATTTGCTAAAAATATTACTGTAATTTGCCTACTGTATCAAATTACATTACCAATGTGGTCTAAAATCATTATTTTTTTGTTCCATAAAGTCTCCCCCTGAATTTTTCAACCACCACACAAATTTGGCCCAACCATATTTTCTGATTACAGTCGACCTTCCCATTTACGAACTTCTCATTTACGAACCTTCTATTTTACGAATGTTCAGCCGATGACGTCATCGCTGGATTTATTCATCTAATTTTTACTTTTTTTAAATTTATTTTAAGGAAAACGAATTATAAAGGTCATTAAGAAATGCATTATAGTGCTAATTATACAGTACATTTCATCATACTACTTTAGGCTTAGAAAAGTCAAACCAATACATGATGTAAAATAATCAAAACTAGCCGAAATTCAGGCAGGCAGTGCATGCTGCTAGGCCTACCTTGTCTAGGCTAAGTGCAAGGCTGGGCAGCCTATACCAGGGGGGGGGGGCCTACCCTACTCTGTCTTATGGTTACCTGCGGTCTAAATGCACTGTAAATCGAATCAGCTAGTGTGAGTATAAATGTATGGTAACATCAAACTTTTATCCTTTTAAGAATAAATTACTGTTTGCAGGGGCGGATCCAGAAGTTTTGGTTTGGGGGGGGGGCTATAGGTATGTGTAAAGTGCCTCCAAGTGCCTGCGGAGGCTAGGTTTGGGAGGAGGTGTCTCCGTCCGATAAGATGAGGTTCAGAGGGGTAGCTGAACGCTTTAGTGAGCAATTTCACAGTAAATAGACATGCTCCAAGCAATATTTTTTAGGAAGCTATAACTAAAGATTTTATTGTTTAAAATTAAATATTTTTACATTTATATCATCATATCAATGAGTATACATATTAAAAATCATTTCATGATCACACAATTAACAGTAAAAAATATAATGATAAATTGACATACTTTTTAGCCATATTTCACCATACAAAAATGTTACATGACAAAAATGTCTAAAATTAGATGGAGGATATTTTTACAGTATATATACAGTAAGAAATTTAAAAAAAAATTGGTAATCATGCATTTTATTTTTGGTGCATCCACAATGGAAAGTCATTGACCCATATGTATGTCAAAATCCTGTTCGTCCGTTATATGGGAATAGGATTTGTAGTGTATTAAAATACAAACATGCATATTTCTTTTGAAAACATAATTTAACTATCTTATAATACTCCTTTTCCAAAACATTGAT